CGCTCAAGTACTACTGCCCGAATGGCCTTGACTAAGCAGCCAGCTGGCCTCCCTCAGCAGACTGCCTTCTTACTATACAACTCTTCAACTTGCCATAATGTACAAATGTTTTGCCCTGAAGTGTTCTTTTAAAAATGATAATGTTGGGGCCAGCCTGGTGGCATAGTGGTTAAGTTTGTGCACTCTGCTTCAGCAGGCCAGAGTTCGCAGGTTCAGATCCCAGGCACGGACCTATGCACAGCTCATCAAGCCATGCTGTGCCAGCAACCCATATACAAAATAGAGGAAGACTGGCACAAGATGTTAGCTCAGGGCTAATCTTCCTCAGCAAAAAGAGGAAGTTTGGCAACGGATGTTAGCTCAGGGCCGATCTCCCTCACCACCCCCCCAAAAAAAATGATAATGCTAAAGTCCGTTACAACAATGGTATTCAAAGTGGATGAGCAAGCTGATCCACTGAGATGTGAAAACAATTAAAATTCTATTTTTATTTATTTTTAATCTAAAATATTAAAAAGAATTTTGCTTTACTATCCTTTACTATAGTAAATATAGTTGTGTACTAACATGAGAATTTTGCGGTAACACTAGAATCACAGTCAGTCAGTCACCATCTGTCTCATAAGAGATGTGAAGGGTCCTGGGGGACGAGTGGGAGTGCCTCCCTGAGGAGGGGTTGACGGACGTACTGGCCCCATTCATTCACTTTCTGTGTCTTGTGATTTACTGTAATTTACTCGTGCTTGGGTAAGCGGATTTACAGAGAACTAATTCTCACAAAAATATTTCTGCAAAGAACTGAACTGAAAGCTCTTATTAAAACTGCAAGCACAGGAAAAGAAAAAAGAAAGGGACAGAGCTGACATTTCTGACTTCTGGTACAAGCTCTTCATCACCTACATTATGGTGTAAAAATAATGATGATCTAATAAGATCCGACAGGGTCAGCCAAAAAATGGAAATTTGCAGGAAGACTATTCAAAATATGGATTTCTAACCACTATTTATAATTAACTTTGCCCTACATGTATGTTTTGCATTAACATATAAAAATAGTTATCTTTGGGCCAGCCTGGTGGCTTAGCAGTTAAGTGCACACGCTCCGCTACTGGCGGCCTGGGTTCAGATCCCGGGCGCACACCGACGCACTGCTTCTCCGGCCATGCTGAGGCCGTGTCCCACATACAGCAACTAGAAGGATGTGCAACTATGACATACAACTATCTACTGGGGCTTTGGGGGAAAAAAAAGGAGGAGGATTGGCAATGGATTTTAGCTCAGAGCCGGTCTTCCTCAGCAAAAAGAGGAGGATTAGCATGGATGTTAGCTCAGGGCTGATCTTCCTCACAAAAAAATAAAAAAATAGTTATCTTTAAATTTCTATTTTGTGGGTATTATATCATAAATATTTATATGCTCAAAATTTTTAATGATACAATCAAAAACTTTAAAGACCACTGGATTAAAAGATGGCATTTGGAGACATCTGACCTCATTATCTTTATTATCAAGTGAAAGTTAGAATTATTATTTCATAATATCCTTATAGATAAGATAGAGATTGTACTTGAAAGTAGGTTATTAATAACCAGTTACGTCTAGATGACCAGGGCTTTACAAGTTCAGAAATTTGGGAAGCAGCACCCAGTATGACTCTAGAATCAGATTGCTTGGCTGTTAATCTCTGCTTCAGCCATGGCTAACTACAACCTGGGGCAAGTTAGTTAACCCACTGCACCACAGCTTCCTCAGATGTAAAATGAGAATAATGTTAGTACTTTCTGTGTAGGGCTATTTTCAGGATTAAATGAGCTAATATATATGAGAGTTTAGACTAGTGTCTGGCTCTCTACTGCCTCTTGCCGGCCAACAGGGGTCAGTACACCACAATCTACATGAGGAAGCTAAATAAAATGAATGTTTAATTGGAGAAAGAAAAGATTTTCAGTGTTTGAGGAAACATCAATGCTTAACTGCAGAAAATTTTTGCAAAATGGTGTTGAGAAAAATCAGTCACCATAAAATTAAGCAATCAGTGAGAAATATAGGAAGAGAAAAGACGTCAAATACCTTAAGAAATAATTAAATAATAAATACATTTTAAATATCTAAAAGCAATTTGAAATGCAGGAGGACATTTTAAATGGTGGTGCTCTGAAGCAGAGACCTTGAGAATTCATGGTGCAAGAGAGCACAATCTTTCCAAGAAAAGCAACCTTGAAATACCAAGGATGTATTTTGAGTTCTGCCTTGATGTTTAGCGGGTAGGAGAGGGTCTGAACCTTCCTATTTGCAGATTCTATAACAACAATGTTATTTTTTATCGAGTACTCACTATATGCCAAATGCTTTACACATATCACCCTTTTTATTTTTCTTTTTTGACTTTTTAACATGAAAATGTTCAAATACATAGAAAAGAATAGATAGAATAATTAAATGAACATCCATATACCCATCACTCAGTTTAACATTTAACATTTTCCATATTTTAATTTTTCTGAAGTATTTTAAAATAAATATAGATAGCAAACATTTTCCCCCTAAATACAACAATTTGTGTGTCTAAAAATAGGGACATTTTTCTACCTAAGCACAATGTCATTATCATACCTAATAAAAAACAATTATCGAATATCATCTAATGCCCTTGTCTGTATTCAAATTTCTCCAACTGTTCCCCATATCTCTTTTTTTTTTAGTGAGGAAGAGTGGCCTTGAGCAAACATCTGTTGCCAATCTTCCTCTCTTTTACTGAGGAATATTGGCTCTGAGCTAACATCTGTGCCCATCTTCCTCTATTTTGTATGTGGGATGCTGCCACAGCATGGCTTGATGAGCGGTGCATCAGTCTGCACCTGGGATTCAAAACTGCAAACCCTGGGCTGCCAAAGTGGAGTGTGCGAATCCAACCACTATACCACTGGGCCGGCCCCCTCCCCAAATATCTTTTATATCTGGTTTATTAAACCAGAACCAAGGACAAGCCATTGCATTTGGTTATTACGCCTCTTAGGTTTCTTCTAATCTAGAACAGTCCTCCCTCAGTCCTGCTTTTTTTTTTTTTTAATGACACTGACTTAAGAGCCATTTGTTCTGCAGGATGTCCCACCATTTGTCCTGGATTTTTCTGATTGTTTCCTCTTGGTGTCATTTTATTCTATCTTGGTAGTTCCTGCTTGATCATATTGAGGTTAAAGATTCTTGGAAACAATACTTCACAGATAACGCTGGTGCTTCATATTGTATGGCATCAGGAGACACATAACGTCAGGTTGGTCTACTTTTAGTGATGCTAAGATTGATGTGGCTGAGGTGAGAGGGGCCAGATTTCTCCCCTGTCATTATGTTTTTCCCCTGATTACTGGCAAGTACTCCCTGGGGGATAATTTGGCCGTATGTGAACATTCTGTTCCCTCTTTCACCAAATGGTCTCATTGATGATCCTGGCGTGAATCAATTATTTCATTAGGGGCTGCAAAATGGTGATTTTCTAATTTTATCGTTCATTTTACATTATTTAGCTGGCATACTTTTGTAAAGAGAACTGTTTCCTCATCGACTGGGGCTATTTGGTTACCCTGAAATACAGCTGCAACTAGAAAGGCAGATAAATATTTATTTTCTTAAATTACCACTTCTCAGAGTAAGGAGTTGGTGTAAGTCACCACCAATAGCATGGCAAACAAGGTTTTAAAAAATTGTTTTTTCGATTTGGCTTACTCTTTTTGGGGAATGACTTTAATATGTTTGACATTTTCAATCAATTGCAGTCATTATTTTTGATGCTCAGATTATTCTAACTTTGGCCAGTGGGCATTCCTTCAAGCAGGCTCCCAGGTGCTTTTGAAAGGATCTGGTTTTTGGATACCTCCTGACTTTCTGTCACAAGATGATCCCAGTGCTCCTGTTCATTCCCAGCTCTTGGCCTGGCATTAGCCATTTCTCCAAGGAGCCCTGGTACCTTTTAGTGGGGCATGGTATTTAGAGATCAAAATCGAGGTGCCAAGGATAGTCATTGCTTCCAGGCCCTGAGTTCATATTAATATCTTCATTTCAAAGTTAACAATACAGAGTTTTTACTTCATTGTTTTTATATTTGTCTTATTTTACAATGGAGTTTTTGCACCTAATAACATTAACACAATTACTCATTTAATACTTACACCAACCCTGTGAGATAGGGGAGCATACCTGATGTTATATAACTTGTGATCATAACTTATGTTATGGTGTCCATTTTAAAAGGAGGAACCAGAGACGCGAGGTGCCCCAGGTTACACCGCCCGCAAGCGGCAGCGTCGGGATTTGAACCCGGCACACTACTTCCACCGGAGAAGAGAGCCCCAGACATTCAGAGAGGCTTCTCCAGAGAGCAAAGGGTACTTCGAAAAGGTATCGGGGAGACGATCAGGGCTGGGGCTGCGGGAACCCGCGTGTGGGGTGAACAGACCGGTCCCGACCGACTCCTCCAAGCCGGGAGGGCAGGGCCAGGACGAGCTGCTGGGTGAGCGGCCTGTCGGGGTCGTGCCCAAGGCCGCTGCTCCACCTCAGGTCTGCCCAGAGCTCCATGAAGCGCACACGCGCCAGGGATCCACTCGCTCGCGACCCAAAGACGAGAAAACCCGGTCGCTCCTGGCGCGCCGTAACCCTCTCACGGAGCCCACCGGCTAGCCCCCGCGTAGCGCCCGCCCACCCGCCAATCAGAGGGAGCTTTGAGCACGGGGGCGGGACAACAGAGGAGTGTGTCCAATGAGGAATCAGCCCCCGGGTCGCCTCAGGACAGAGTATTTCACAGTCCAAGTGGAGAGTGGAGAGGAGGCGGTGGGCTTGGCCAATCAGAGGGAGCGATTCACATCGTTGGGCACCGGTAGCCAATCAGGAGAGCCCTTGCACCCGACTCGCCCGGCCCACGCTTCCCGCCTTTCCCTTAACTCCGGAGTCCACCGCGCGGCGGTCGCTGGGCAAGGGTCGTGGGCCGCCGCGCTGCGCTCGCTGTCCTGTCCTCGCACCCCTGCTCCCGACTCCAGGGCTGTGCAGGCGTCTGGTTGAGACATGGCGGACTCGGGCTGCGAGAACCTCCGCAGCCAGGAGGCAGGGAGTTTTCTCTACTTCGCCTACGGCAGCAACCTGCTGACGGAGCGGATCCACCTCCGAAACCCCTCGGCCGCGTTCGTCGGCGTGGCCCGCCTGCAGGTCAGTGCGCCCCGGCCAGCCCCTGCGACGTCGAGCCCCCTCCACAGGTGAGGTGAGGGACCCGGATTCCGAGAAGTCGCAGAACTGGGCCGGGAATGCAGCGCTTCCTGCTAAGAGAACATCAGGTTCTCCTGGGCAGGCCACCTCCTCCACGCCCCTCGGGCCCTGTGCTTGACCCCTGCTGAGCCCTGCTACCCCATCATCCGTGATCTCCAGGCCGCTGAGCTCCCCCTCCTAACCTCTCCGCTCCTTCTGCCCAGATCTGGCCGCCTCTCTCTTGTGCCCTAACTTAGGGCCAGAGTCCCTTCAGTCTGTACCCCTGAGAGGCCTTCTCTGACTCAAGTCAGGGATTCAGTTGCCTTCTCTTCTGTACATACCTTTGCTGCGGGACTTGTAAGCTGGTATTGTAAGAATCCGTTTACCTGTCTTTGCTCCTGATCTGAGAGGTCCTGAAAGCTGGAACCGTGTCTTATTTATAGTAAGGGCTGTGCTCAGTTAAGTCAGGGGTTGAACCCTATGGTCCATCAGGGATGAACCACAACCCAAGTTGGTAAAAATCATTGCTCTTCAGTACAGTCCATTCGTTCATTTAATACATATTCTCCCAGCCTTCCCTGGAAATGCAAAGATCATTGAGTAAATTTGGCTGCTTTGAGGACCTCCCAGTCTATAGAAGAGACATGCAAACAAATTATATACAAGACCTTTTGACGTGGTTGAGCTATACAAACATGGTCTCTGCTGTCGTCGTCAGGGTTCTTAGTTGCAAGCAACAGAAAGTGGCTGATTTAAGCAAAAAAAGAATGTGTTGAAAAGGCTTTGGAGAGCTCACAGAATGACCAGGAAGGTAGGACCACTAAGCTGACAAAACAGGCAGGCATAAAGGGAGGCGTAGCAACTGTAACACAGCGGGCACCACACGACAGAAGCAGCGCAGGAAGCCACTGCTGCACCACTGCTGAACACGGACGCTGCTGCATTGTGCATCACCGAGACCACGTGCCCTGGACCCTGCCTGCTACTGTCACGACACCCCTGCAGTTCCTGAAACCCGGATGTGGCTGCCACCATCAGGGTGGAGCTTCTGCTGTCCCTGGGCGCTAGGTTCTAATTCAAAGCCCAGGTGGGTGTCCTGATTGGCTAAGTTTTGGCCATGTGCCCCTGCCCTGACTGCAAGCAAAGCTGGGAGAACCAACTTCTGGCATTCGAAGCTTCGAAAGTGGGAGTTGGGCTCTGGCACTCTCTACCCCTCAGACTCATAAGGTAGGGAATTCCCCAAATGTGGGAAAGAAGTTCAGATGCTTCTAGTCGGGATGAGGGGAAGGAATATCAAGCAAATGATTATTCAGTTACAGGTATGGTCAGTCTTAAAAAGGAGGCATGTTGTACCTTCCTCTCAATTTTGCTGTGAACCTAAAACCGCTCTAAAAAAAGTGAAATCTTTTTTTTTTTTTAAGGAGAGATACAGGGTGCTGTGGGAGTGTATGACTTGGGGACCTGACCTAACCAGGATGTTCAGGAAAATTTTTCCTGAAAATGTGGCTTTTAAGCTGAGACCTGAATGACTGGGGAGAGGGGAAGCCGATAAAACAGAAGGAACAGCATGTACAAAAGACCTCAGGAAAGAAGCAGCTGGATCTTCCAGCTAGTGTGGCTGGAGTTGAGTGTGTGACGAGGATGTAGCTTGAGGCCTGGAGAGATGGGGAAGGGCCCCATGTTACAGGACCAAAGAGGCCAAAGAAGACTGATCTTTATCTTGAGAGCCCTGAGAAGACCCACTGCAGAATTTCAGCAAATGAAAGATCAGATTTACATCTTTGAAAGCTCATTCTGGTTGCTATGGAAAATGGAGTGGAAGGAGGGGGCAACAGTGGCTGTGGGGAGCCCAGTTAGAAAGCTTTTATAGCAGTCCGTACTAGAGACAGTGGCACCTTGGACTAGAGTAGTAGCAGTGGAGGGTAGACGGACTTGGGAGATATTTAGGAGATAACAATGTTAGGCCTTGGTGATTGACTGTGAAGGGAGGAGGCGATAAATAGGGGTGACTAAGTTTTTTGGTGCAACAGGGTGGATGATGGTGATGTTTGCAAAGAGAAGAGGAGAATCAGGTTTGAGAGGGAAAATGAAGCTTAGTCTGAAGCTACTGAGTTTGAGATGCTTGTTATACCTCCACCTGAGCAGGAGAATATTAGAAGTACTCACCATGGGTGCTAGGCCCTGTTCTAAGCATTTTTGAAGATCAGAAGAGAGATCTGGGCTGGATTAAAAGATGATTGGAGTATTGGATGGTATTTGAAGCCACTGCAGGGAATGTGACTGTCTTGAGCAAACTGCTGAATGAACAGAGAAAAGGGCCTAAACTGAGCCCTTAGAAACCCCAACATTTAAAGACCAGGCAGTGGAGGACAAGTTGACAAAGGGAATTGAGGTCATGGAACAGCCTGAAAGTCAGGAAGGAAGCAGATCAAGACAGGGTGGTTAACTATGTTAGAAGCAGCTGAGAAGTGGAGCAAGATGAGGAATGGAAATTGTCTATTGGATTTAGCATTCGACAACCAGTTCCCAGTGTAGTTGTAACTTTTCTCAGATCTGCTGATGTCCTGCCAGGGGTACTTGGTCCTAGAACATCCAGTAAACCAATTGGAGGTACTGGTCACTCAGACTAGCCTTTTTCCTGAAATGTCTGACAAGGTTTTTAAGAAAATAAAGATGACAAGAGTAAAATACAAACCTTAGATTTATTATCTGGTCCGAATTTTTTAACTTTATTATTTAGTAAACTGAGCTCTGGAAAGATGGAAGGAAATCTTCCTAGACCAAATAGCCAAGTAAGGATTTTTAATCTTCCCCAGGACTCTGTCCTCTGATTACCCATCTCTGTGAGAGAAGAAGCTAAACTAGAAACCTGGCTCCATTACTTACTAGTTGTGAGACCTTAGGCAAGTTGCTTCATCTTTGTAAACCAGTTTTTCTTGCTATTAAATGGGTATAATAAAGTTATTGGCCGGATGAAAATAAAAGTCCATATAAAGCTCATAGCACAGTGTACAGAACCCACTAATTTTCCAGTGTTACCTGCTCTTATGATTATTATAGATATATTAGTACAATTCATGAATATGAGATTAATGTTCATAAGTATACAAATCACCCTCCATTCCTAGCTCCTTTAGGACATTGTGATGTATGCTAGTAGGATACTCTCTACGTACATAAAAGTAGGGAGAATGTTATAACCTCAATGTAGCCATCACCCAGCCTCAGCAATTATGTACACTATGATTGCCTCCAAGTTAAAATCTATGTGTATGTAAGTAGACTGGGAAGTAATTTTCAAAAATGAAAATAGTTGTGTTAAGGCTTTGGGATTATGGGGTTTTCCCCCCTTAAACCTTTCGTTTATGGTAAGATACGTGTACACATTCAGTATACATTTCATTTTTAAAGAAACATGAAAAAATACAGTCTTGAGATCTGGGTCCTCCTTTATCTTTGTATTTTCCACAGCTTCTTACGCATAGAAGGAACTCAAAGTTTATGTTTTAATTGCATGGAGTTCAAGGTAAATCTTTTTTTATTTTGAGGAGGGAAATTTTGGTTCAAGTGGATATTGATCATATCACTTTCGTTTCCTTTGTAGGATTTTAAGCTTGACTTTGGCAATTTCAAAGGCAAAACAAGTGAAACTTGGCATGGAGGTATAGCCACCATTTTTCAAAGTCCTGGCGATGAAGTATGGGGAGTAGTATGGAAAATGAACAAAAGCAATTTAAGTTCTCTGGATAAGTAGGTGGCTTCTAATTATAAGTTAAATAATTGCTAATTCAGAAAGTGGATTATATGCAAAGATGTGTATATATGTGCTGGTTTTTCAAAACCATATACTACAGACATATTCTTTACACTTTAGAGTTAACGTAAGTGGTATAATGTGCGTTTCCTAAAGAGAAAAGCCTAGAAGGGTCACACTTTCTGATTGAGATTTGGGAGGACATTGATGATCTCTTCTACAAAAGATGGAAGTCCTTATTTTCATTCTACTTGTCTTTTATAAAAATTTCTTTGTAGTTTCATATTGTGAAAAGTCATGAAGATTTTTGTAGTTGTTACATATTTTTGTTGATTTCAAAAGCAGTAGTTCAGTTTTTATTAGAGCCAGTTTTAAAAAAAAAATTCTTTAAGGTGGCAGTTGAATCGGTAAAAAGTAATAACTTGTAAAAACTTTAAAAACATATGAGAAATGCTTTGATACTTTTTACCACTGGAACTCTCAAGAGTTGTGTGGCGGAGTATTTAATCCAAAGAAAGTTGGCAGAAAAGAGCAGGACTTGAGAAGAGCAGGCTACCTGACATGCCTGATACTTTACCTCACTTGCAGAGAGAATAAGCCATCCTCTCTACTTTTTTCCGAGTGGATATTTTTTTGCTGTCAGAACACAGTCCATTTTTTGTAGCCTACAGTGCAATGTTTCAGGGGTATAAAGATTGAAATAACTCCAGTGAAGCATGTTTTTGGATAGGATAAATATAGAGATCTATTAGAAGTATACCAGGTCTCAGGTTTTCTAATTGAGATGCTAAGTTTACTTTTGATGTGGGTAGTATTTATAATATGTTCTACTTTATCCCAGAATCCTTGAGAAGCAAGTACATCCATATATAGTTAACTTTTTAATCTAGTAAACTAACTTAGCTATGTCAAGTATGGTTAAAATGTGGCTGTTCTGGTTTCAGTCAAGAAGGGGTTAAAAGTGGAACATATGACCCAATAGAAGTTAATGTTTACACTCAAGAAGGAAAAAAAATAACCTGTCGAAGTTATCAAATGAAAAGTTATGAGTGCGCTCCTCCATCGCCCCAGTATAAAAAGGTAAGCTACTTACAAAGATTTTTGGTGACACCTTTTTAATTTTCACTAAACTAAACTAAGATAAAGACTATGTTGTTTGTAAAATGCTTTGTGTGTTTTAAATTCTACATGAACAATTCATTTTAATCAAAATATTTTTAATACAAAAATGATAGTTATTTACTTAAAGTGCAAATTCAATAATGTTCAGATTTATTTGCAATGATAGAACTATGTTCCTAAAACTTTGTTTATTAAAGAAGAACTTTTAGAAACATGTGAGTCATAATTCTAGACATGTATTTTCTTTCTATAATTTTATTTATTTATTTATTTTTCCCCCAAAGCCCCGGTAGATAGTTGCATGTCATAGTTGCACATCCTTCTAGTTGCTGTATGTGGGACGCGGCCTCAGCATGGCCGCACAAGCGGTGCATTGGTGCGTGCCCGGGATCCGAACCTGGGCTGCCAGCAGCAGAGCGCGCGCACTTAACCACTAAGCCATGGGGCCGGCCCTGTGTTTTCTTTCTTAAAGTAGAAAATAACATGTGAATGTGTTTTTAGTAGATTTATTCTATACATATGCTTTTGTAATCTGTTTTTTTCCTCCACAAAACAGTGTTTGCTGAACACTAAGATTCATTTTTATAGGGAAAAAATATATTTCTTATTGCTGAAATGTTTTCCATCCCTAGATGGAGAAAAAAAGTCACACTGCCTTTCAACATCAGGGAAACCACTCCCACACACACAGGAAAAGGATGTGGGATAGAGACCCCAAAATCCCTTTTCAGAAACCCAAACTTAGGTACTTGTTGGCAGACCCAATCAGGACATGGCACCTGGAGTGGGTGACCCAGTTCCTGGGCCTATCTGGAATTTTCTAGTATGGAGCCTAGAGGAATTAGCCTGGTATGGATCTGGGAAGTACCACTGAACACAGTTACCATTTATTCCCTCATGTCTAATTCAGAGGTAGAGTAGACTCTGGGATTAAACTAAAATTGCTCCCTATAAACTTTAAATTTTTTTGAAGAATGATGTTTTTTCTTAAAAGATCATGCAAATTCTATACAATAAGTTTTTGTCTTAATATAAAAATATTTTAAATCACATTACTGAGTAAAATTGATATTCCTTGAGGATGTACCATGTGGCTTTGAAAACTCCCTGCACATTCATGCTCAATGTGAGAGGAATGACTCTCTCTCTATTTTGTTCTATAATTGTTTATTCTAGAGTTATCTGACAGCTAATAGTTCATACTTTGATACTGCAAGTAAAGCTGTGGTATACTAAATTAAATTATGTTGCTAACTAAGAGGGATTTTTGTTGTTGTTTATTTTAACTATTTCTAGGTCATTTGCATGGGTGCAAAAGAGAATGGTTTACCACTGGAGTATCAAAAGAAGTTAAATGCAGTAGAACCAAATGACTACAAAGGAAAGGTCTCAGAAGAAATTGAAGACATTATCAAAAAGGGGGAAACAAAAACTCGTTAAGAACATAATAGAATATGTCTATGAATGTTTTCTCCATGTGCTAATATATTTTTAATGTTTAGAAAAGGGATCTGGGATATCTCTATGTTTATATATTTTCACCAGTCCTCTGAAGGGATATCTCACTTGGGTGATTCTTTGTTTTCAGACTATGAAAAGAAACTGGCTTAGCAGTTAGACAATTGAAAAGCGGGCCTTGAACGCATGACAAATGGATGTGGATATTCCTTCTGTGAACACTGAGTTATTTTCTTGAGTTGATCTGAAGTGTATTCTTGCTCTGTGACAAAGGATAGATTTGCAACTTAATGATGGTGCTGTTGAATTGCTCTGCTCTGGGATGTTTTTTATCAGCTTAATAAGAGCAAGCAAACTTCAGAGACAGTTGATAATAAATTTTTTTTAATTTAAAAGATGGCATACATTTGTGACAACATGGATGGACATTGAGGGTATAATGCAAAGTGAAATAAGTCAGAGGGAGAAGGTCAAATACCGTATGATTTCCTTCATTAAGTAGTAGATAATAACAACAATAAACAAACACATAGGGACCGAGATTGGATTGGTGGTTACCAGAGGGGAAGGGGGGAGGGAGGAGGGTGAAAGGGATAATTCGGTACCTGTGTGTGGTGATGGGTTGTAATTAGTATTTTGGTGGTGAACATGATGTAATCTATGCAGAAATAGAAGTACAATGATGTACACCTGAAATTTTTACAATGTTATAAACCAATGTTACTGCAATAAACAAAAAAGAATAAAAAAAAAAGAATAAATATTATCCTTGCTATTTAAAAAAAAAAAAAAAAGATGGCTTACTATTCTTAGAGGAATGAATGTATTTGTGGTTTAGCCTATAATCCCTACTAAAGTACTACATTTCATTTCATTAGAGAGACTCAAATCATCACACATCCTGGGTCTGGTCTTGGCTATACACAGTCTATACTAGAAGATTATTGCACAGATTTTGGAACCAGAGAGCCTAGGACCAATTGTCAGTTCCACCACTTTCTAACTGGGAGACTTTGGCTTATTTGACTTGGTGCCTCAGTTTCCTCACCTATAGAGGGAGGACAGCCAAAACACCTATGTCTTAGGATTGTTTTGAGGAGTAAATATATGTATGAGCTTAGAACAGAGCCTGACATATAATAAGTATTAGCAATCATTAATGTTCTTGTTAAAGAATTAAGTTTGTACAGGGCTGTCCTTGGAACAGGTTTTTAAAGTAGAAGAGTCAAGATTATGAGGGAAAAATGTTTTTTGGAAGCTACAACTTGATTTTTGCCTTATCAAGAAATGGTCACCTTCTTAAATTTATTTACTGAGTAAATGGAGGAGAGAAGAGTCATGAATAAAACAATACTGGTTATCAGAAAATCTCGTGTCTCTGTGCAATGCAGTGAGCTGGACCTTCGAAACAGGTTCCTGGAATGAGAGTGAACTAGTTGCAGGAGCATACAAGATTTGGTTTGTTCTCTTGGGAAAAATGACCAAGGGACTTTCCAGCTACAGCTGCAATTCCGTAGTGAAGCTGACCCATAAACTACAGTTAGACCGTGTTTTATAGCTGTTACCCCTCCCTATTTTCAAGTATACCCTCCAATATTCTAGTTTTCTCCAGTTCTTAACTCCTCCCAAGAAGAACCAAGTTTGTCAGCGACCCAGAACCCAGTTATGGTAATATAGTGAGCGAGGCTGAGTTTTGCTCTAGATACTAAAGATTGAATATTATTCTAATAATCTATCTCACTTACCTAAAATGACAGCTTTCATTAAGGAATTTAAAACAGAATAAACCTTCGTGCTTGGCCTTGTAACAAAAACCTGGTAATCACAAGGAATGCTGTTTTTCTAGTTGTTTTCAGGTAGTACTTCCAGATGTCATATGTAAGGGATTTCCATCTCACCAGTGATTTTGGCCCTCTAACCACAATACAACCAGCTACTGGATAAACTATAAGAAACATAGTTTTTGAAAAGCATTTCTGGGCTTGCAAGAAAATCTTCAAGGTGTACCAATCCCTCTCCTACAAAAGAAAAAAGAACACAAGCTGAGCTGAAAGGATAGACAGTACTGGGAAACAAATGGCCACAATGTCCTTGGGTACAAATGCCAATAATAACCCTGGAATTAGACTACTAACCCTTGAGCATCCTGCTGCAGGACAGGAAAACTGAACCTGACAATTCTGTGTGAAACCAGGACCCTTACCAATGGTCCCCAGTTGGTAAGCCTGGTGGCACCCAGCAGAGGCAATGCAAATCTCTGAAAAAAGCAATCCTAATTTAGATCCTTAGGATTTCCACTTAAAATTTTAAAAGATAGTAATAAGGAAAATGACACATCATGAATGAGGACAGAAAAAGCAAATTTAGATCCCCAAGGTTTTAAGATACTGAAATGATCAAAAACAGGGTATAAAATAAGTAAATATGGAGACTTCGGCTTCTGGGAAGATAGAGTAAACATACTCTTCCCTATTCCTTTAGTTAAGTACAACTAAAATTCCTGAACATTATATATAACACAAACTGAAGACTGAAAGGTGGAGAGAAAGCAGACTAGCTAGGGATCTAGGGACCCGAGGCACGACATGGTGCTGAACTCCCCCGGGTTTTCTCCTGCCTCCTGCATCTCAGACTTGTAGCTGAAGCCAGCAACCTGAAAGCACCCATGAGCACCGACCAAAAAAAACAGAAAACAAGAAAAGCCTGCTCTCTCTAACCAAAGGACTAGGAAAGGGACAATCTAGCAAGACAGAAAACTTCTAGAAAATAAATGCTCTACTCCAGCCAGTTGTGGACCTCCCACCTACACCCATGCCAGCAAAGGCCAAGAGGGAAGCCTAGGCTTTCACCCTCGCCAGGCTGTCACAAGGCACCCTAACTCTGTCCCTCACTGCCACCAGGGTAGTGTCAGAAAAGGCCAAGCAGGGAGCCACCCAGCAGTAACAAGCCCCCTCCCCACCCTCTGTAGTGAAAGTGGAGACCATGTGGGGAGCCTGGACTTAAACCCCCATCTGGCAGTGGCAAGGTGCCCCTCCCCCTCCCTTCGGGTTGGTGTCAGTGGAGGCCACATAGTGGGCAGTAATGAGGCATTCCTATTCCTCCTAGCCAAGGAGGTATCAGTGGGAGGCCTAGTGGGGAGTTGGAACTCCCACCTCCACTCAGCAGTAGGAAGGTGCACCTTCCCTTGGATGACAACAGAAGCTGAGTGGGAATCTGAACTTCTACCTTCATTTAGCAGTATTGAGGCACTGCCCCTTGCCTTCCTCTGCTGGCATGGTTTCAGAGTAAGCCAGCTAAAATAGATTTCAAAAAGATCCAGAGTCTCATAATATAATTTCCAGAATGTCTAGGTTTCAACTGAAAATCACTCATCATTCCAAGAAGCAGGAAGACCTCAAACTAAATGAAAAAAGACAATCAATAGATGCCAAAACAGACAGATTTTAAAGCAGCAGTCATAAAAATGCTTTAATGAGCAATGAGGATCATGCTTGAAACAAATGAAAACAGAAATTCTCAGCAAAGAAACAGAAGATACAAAGAAGAACCAAATGGAAATTTTAGAACTGAAAAATATAATAACTGAAATTAAAAACTCAGTGGTTGGGCTCAACAGCAGAATAGAGGGGACAGAGGAAAGAAACAGTGAACCGGAAGATAGAACGATGGAAATTACCTAGTCTGAACAGCAGAGAGAAAACAGACTGAAAAAAAAATTAACAGAGCCTCAGAGACTGTGAGACTATGACAGAAGATCTAACATCTGTGTCATGGAGTCTCAGAATGAGAGGAGAAAGGGCAGACTAAAAAAGTACCCAAAGAGATAATGGCTTAAATGTCCTGAATTTGCCAAAAGATATAAACCTGCAAATTCAAGAAGCTGAGTGAAGCCATGACAGTTTCATGTGGTTTAATCTAACAGATACCTAACTCCCAGGTTTGTGGGTGGGATTAGCAATAGGGTACATAAAATGCCCAGCACAATGCTTGGTATACAGCTGTTGCCTAATAAATAGTAGTTAACATTTAAAAAAAAAAGGAGCTGAATGAACCCCAAACATAAACCCAAAGAAATCCACACCAGACACATTATAGTCAAACTTCTGAAAACTAAAGTTTTCAAAAATTTCAAGAATTTCTCAAAAATTCTTGAGAGCAGTGAGTGAAAGATGACACCTTACCTACAGGAGGAAAACAATTCAAATGACACCAGATTTCTCATCAAAAACCATGGGGCCAGAAGGAAGTGGCATATTTTTCAAGTGCTGAAAGAAAAGAGCTGTCAACACAGAATCCACTGAAAATAGTCTTTGAAAAAGAAGGGAAAAATCAAGACATTCTCAGATGAAGGAAAACTATGAAAATTTGTTGCCAGCAGACCTACTCTAAAAGAATGGCTGAAGGATATTCTCTAAACAAGAAGGAAATGAAAAAAGAAGGAACTTTGGAACATCAGAAAGGAAAAAAATAACATGGTAAGCAAAAACATGGGTAAAGACTGTAGATTTTCCTTCTCTTGAGTGTCTTAACATTGAAGCAAAAATTATAACACTGTCATTTGTGGTTCTAAATACATATAGATGTAATATTTAAAACAATTATAAAAAGAGGGAGAGTAAAGGGAAGTAAGTTTTCTACACTTCATTGAACTGGCAAAATGACACCAGCAGACTGAAAAATTATGCGTACATATAATGTAATACCTAGAGCGACAACTAAAACAGGTATACAAAGAAATACACTTAAAAACACTACATATAAATAAAAATGGAATTCTAAAATATGTTCAAGTAACCCACAGGAAGGCAGGAAAAAGAAAACAAACAACAAACAGAACAAACAGAAAACAATAAAATGGCAGACTTAAACCCTAACATATCAATAATTACATTCAATGTAAATGAGCTGAATACACCAATCAAAACACAGAAATTGGCAGAGTGGATTAAAAACATGACCCAACGTTATGCTTTCTACAAGAAACTCGATTCAACTATAATAACTATAACAATATAACAATATTGCTTATACCAATAAGCAGTTTGAAAGTACAAGGATGGAAAAAGATATATGATGCAAACATTAATCAAGGGAAAGAGTGAGTGGCTATATTAATATCAGATAAAGTAGATTTCAGAGCAAATAAAATTACCAGAGACAGAGAGACATTATGGTAGCCTTGACCAATTCATTTTTTGTAGCCAATATTACCCTGATCCCAAAACTAGATAAAGACAGTAGAAAAACCAAACAAAAAGAAACCTACAGACCAATATCCCTAATGAATATAGGTGCAAACATCCTTAATGAAATCCTAGCAAATAGAATTCAGCCATACGTTAAACAAGTATACACCATGACCAAGTGGGGTTTACTCCAGAGATGCAAGGCTGGTTCAA